TATATAAACAAATCTACGCGGCTCTGATGGAAATATCGATGGCTGCGTTCTAAATACACCCGCGAAGTAACAATAGAATCTTGAAGACGAACACAGTATAATACAACATCAATTCAATAACTATTTTATTGTCATATTGTTCTACGAATGTGCCATTTTCGGTTTTTCAAACGCGAGTGACTTATCGAATAGGTTGGCCTGCATACTACTCGACAGCAGATTTGGGTACTGACTCGCATATTACTCGAACCACAGTACATCATACCTTTTCACGGACGATAAAGAGGAGGAGGAGGGGAGGGAGTCAGGGTCGGGCTAGTCCGTTTAAGGTATCTCGCTTGGTTATCTCAAAGCTTTGGTATACGTAGTAATATAAAACTTGCTTATCGTTGCCCAAACTATACACTCTCTAAGGGCCCAACTTTGAGGACACCATGTGTACATAAAAAATTCTTCTGAATTACTGCAGTCGGATTATTTATACTTTTGAAAAAGTACTTGCTTAATGTTAACTTTCTAGTCTGATAAAGACATGTCTGGATTTTACTTGCTTAAAATGGAGACGATTTAGACTTGATTGTTATAGTTTATGCAGGCTTTCGGCTTGAAGTTCTCACTTTTTATTTTCAATGGACTATGTGAGCCACGACTACCTTATATAAAATAATGGTTCAATGGGCAAACGTCATATAGCAAACCTAAACCGTCAGCCATGAATAGGACACCTGTTATGTGGACATTCGAGGTAAGCTTTTCTGAGTTGAGTATATACGATATACGAATACACATTGGGAACATTAAAACACAAACAGTAAGTTCGTTTAATTATAAATTGTTCGACAAATATTGTATATTCATATTTATTAAAGACCAATCTATTTTATTTGGTTCTAATTGCCCATAAAAATTTGTCGAAATTAATGATTTCGGTTTTAAATTCGTATTTACACAACCGACGGACGGCAGAGCGGTTTATATATGGTGCACAATTTCCGTTTAATGCATGTGTTTTTGTTAAACTAGGATCCAGTTTAAGTTGCATGAATTAGTAGGGTACTCTGTGAATCCTTTTAGAGACAAAATGAACAGCATTATGTACATACTACATGAGTGTGTTATTTCGTTAGTTAGTTCCTCAATCCTAATATTGCTTCAATGATCACATTCTGTTCATAAATCGATAGAAATATACATTGCACGCAGGTATTTGAGAATGCGGCATTGGATTGCACACTAAGTGTGACCGGTAAGTCAGACTGAATTCCTTCAAACTGTAATGAAACTCTAACCGCCAGACCTGCTCTAGATTATGTACAAATCACAAAGATTTACTGGTGAATGTATATTCTAATTTAAAGTGGACAATCCAGCTTTTCAGTATCAAGGTATGTCCGCAAAATCCACTATAACTAGATGTTGCTCAGATTATTTGGTAAAGTACCGCTATTGATCTCCTACATATTTTTACGTCATTCTAACATGCTGTCATAGACGAAATAATGCTAGGACCAAAAGTGAGACACGGTTGAGCAGTTGTTTATGAGAGATAACATAGTATAAGTGCTAGCCTGTGGGAGCCACGCAAATCACGCTCCCTTGATTACTTGTAGGCCATTAATAGATATCAAAAATAATAGTGGCCCCAGGTTAGATCCCTAGGAAAAAACAGATGGAGTTAAGTATGCTTCGGATTTGAAGCGATTATATTAAGAACTGAATAGTGTTTATAGATATATAGATCCAATGATAGCTAGTTTTCACAATAAGACAATTTTGTTAAAGGCCTTTGAAAAATCATTATGAATCACATCTACATAACTATTCTTATTTAAGGCTTCTGATTTTCAAAGATGAGGCGTTTATTTTAACAGCTTGTAGAACTCTTCAAGAGAAGTTGATATACTCAAAATCAACTATATAAGAGTTTCGTAATGAGATATCCAGTTTACATTATTGAAAATTATTAAAACAATCATTATCAAGTTTAATGGATAGCGTTTTTACAAAAACTGTTCAAAATTGTCCCCATTTTTTCGATAATCGCAAAATCTTGCTCGGCGAATTCTCGACTCTTTACAAGCTTCGAAAATAAAATCCTGGTGTCCACGAACTAAATCACAAGCATATTCAGTACGTTGTTGAAGTTGCCCCCGAGTATTTACTGCTCTATCTCTTTCAGATAGCTCCACAGAAAAAAATCGCAAGGCGTTAAATACGAGCGAAATTAGTCCATCCACCTATTCCGAAACTCATTATTTAGATTTTCATGAACTGCTCGTCTAAAATGTGGTGGAGCTCCATCATGTAGGAACCACATATTATTCTGTCTCACATTTAGAGGAATATTTTCTAATAATTGCAGCAGATTGTGTCGAAGATAACCTAAATAAGTTTCACCGGTCAGTCGAGGTGGAAAAAAGTAGGGTCCAATAAGCATGCCATATACCACGCCAGCCCAAACATTTAATAAAAATCTATGTGGAAAACGAGTTCTTTTTCAGCATGTGGATTTCCTACTGCCCAAAAATGATTATTGTAGAAATTGTGCACTACATGTCAAATCTTCATTTCAGCGAACTGTTCTAAAAGCCACTGGCAAAGTGCAACTCTTCTAGGATGATCTTCAGGTTGTAACACTTGTACCCGTTGATAATGATAAGGATAATCTTGTCGTGTTGTCTTCCACACTTTGCTATGAGCAAATTCAGCTTGAGCTCTCATGGGTCTAGTACTCATTTCTAAAATGTCTCCCTCAATTTGTAACATTTCAGGTTGAGCAGGTCTTCCAGCGTGACCTCCTCGTCGTTCTTTCAAATATCCTATATCATGAAGTCTAATAGATAAATGTATAAACATTCGTGGGGTCGGATGATTTCTGAAAGGAAACCTTTCCGCATACAACCTGCATGCTGCGGCTGCATTTTGTTTCTACTTTCCGTATGTTAGTATTATGTTCACTAGTTCTTTGTTTTCGTAATGGGCCATTTTGCGCGCTCAAAATAATCAGACAAATGAAAGTACACGCACTATGTAAAGTCTGATACAACCCATCAAACCAAAGACTAGTACTGAAACCCATACAATAACACAAAAAGTTTGCCAAATTTAGATAAACGATAACAAAAAACGCTAAGATTTTACACGGTAGTAGCCGAGGATATCAAAAAATCAGTGTAATTCTTATTTGTTTACATTGTTATTCTTTTCTTTTCCTTTGATTGTGCAACTTTTATATAGGTGATCTTTGGTATATCGTCTCCTTTTGACGAGTCCCACAAGCAGTTAGAATAAATGACTCAACTTTGAAAACACCCTGAATAGTGTGTCAAAATAACTAAATTCGTAAGCCTGGACCTATTACTGATAAAGCCGTGCCGTGATATTTGATTCTTGACTGATGGTTATATAAAACAGGACAGATTTTGTCATTTTCCATTGCACTGGAAATATACTACATTTTCTGCTTCAGTTCATAATATATATTTACAATCATTCTTGCACGGTATTTTACTAAGAATGATTAAATTCCAACCGGACTTGAATAATATGGTGATAGCCTAAGGAATTTCAGCTTCTGATCAACATTTACTTGGACATTGCTGTTACCACTTAAAACAGATTCTCCATAAACACTGCTGATTGAACTGCTAACAGCATTAACCATTGTTTGAGGCTGAGAATTTGCCTAATTTTGATATTTGATGGTGCCACGAATTCTTCTTGCACTGTTCTTTATATAAGTTTACGACCAAATTTCTATTGGACGTCGCCAATATAATTATTTAAGCTGCTTTTATCTTTTTTTTTTGCCATTAGGACACTACGTGCCATTAGCCAGATCCAATTTGTATATATTCTAATTCTGGACAAACACACGATTCCACAACATCCATGCTTCGGTATGTTATTTTGGAAGGAGATGCTTTTATCTGACTTGATTGCAGCACGTGAACGCTGAAATTCCAGAAAAGTCTAAGCGACATCCAAATCTTTTAAATTTTCGTCTGTATTTTGCTTTTTGTTTTATAGCTCTCATAGTATTAGAATCATACATCATTGTTATACTCGAAGAGGAAGAGAGTATGCAAACACATTGTACGCCGATATAAAGATACCTGACGATACAAAGGGACTACACGCTAGCAGTAGCGTACGATGTCTTATGGTACCCTGATCTTTTGGTACTCGAATACAGTTCTAGTATTGACGTCCAGGGTCGACAAAGGGTTTGTTTTATTGAACTCCTGTGGTAACAGCAATCTGTCTTTCCGAAGGAATAAGCATCTTTTTTACTATAACTAATGACATGCAGAAATCACTCCAATGAGTGATATCTATTTTAAGTAATACTATTTTGTCTGTTTTACGTCACTTACACTTATGTTGGTCCCCCTACTAAGTCAGTAGGCTGATGCTGGGTCAGCATATTTATTTACTAGTAGGTTGTTTGGAGTGTTGAGAGCCTAAGAATATTACAAATAAAAGACGTTAATTATTATTATTATTAATTGCTAGGCTTTGAGTGTCCAGATATAATTAATACTGCATATTTCGTATAGTAGGAATTTTGGAGATAATAATCTAACACTTAGATCAAATCGTCTGCCAAACGCGATACTCCCTACATACGCTAGCAGGAAACCACAGTTTCTCGACATCTCTGAACGACAGTGTCCGCTTCTAAGAACTCCCACCACAGCCGACCAATCATCACTATAACAAGTGTTAGGTACTGACCACTATGCCAGCATTGAGAATGCAGCCCCTTATTGTCTAGCAAGCCGAGTACGAGGTCACGGATGCTATCGGCGCACTCTTTCTGACACATATTGCATGCTTCTCGCGCTTCTCTCTCGTACACGTTACGATGTCAGCTGAATTTGAATCTCACCATAGTTACATAAACTAATTCAGGCTAAATTGTTGTTAATAGCCGCAGAGATGAAAAGCAACAGATCGTATTCAGCAAATGAAATTTCACCAAAACACACCACACTTACCCCTTCCACTCCTCCCGACGAACCTAAGGTCATTGAACTTCGCCACCTGGTTCTTCATCACCGCCGTACAGTTCCTTAATTCTGCACAATAGTTCTCGTCATTCCCTGCCCGCACTGTCACCACAGTACCATCACCAACGTCACCCAGCGCCACCACTTTGAACGCCACTGGCAGCGTTTTGTTCGACCTCCAATGAGGAGGTAGTACCGTGCACACAAATAGGGGACTTCCCGTTCTTATCAGTTCACCTGGATGTTCACTAAGGAAGTCGTTCAGTGTTCGTTCTGCCAAGATGTCTGACGTCATCTTGGTGTACGTGTCTTGGAGGGTACTTTCGGTCGTGGAGGTGGTGCCGGTAGTGCCGCCACCCCCAGAAGAGGTGGTCGTGTTTGTAAGATGCATTTATAGAAGGGTTAAGTCACCGGATGTTCACAAACATCGAAGCGGTTGGTAGCACTTGTGTGCGATGTGGCAACAATTTTATGGCTTAAATCAGTTCATTTAGCTTATGTTGAACTGATTGGTGGTCTTATCATTTTAGAAAATGGATGTAGGAACGTGATCCTAAACTAACTATTGAAGCTTTACTGAGCAAACGTATGAATTACGTTATTAATGTTTTACTAGTTATACATATTTACAACGACACCTCGCACGTTTGGTTCTAGTTAATCAGTAGCCGCAGATTATGGAAACTCTTGGATTTTTCATATACTTTCTGCTTACAGGTTGATAAGATCTCTCCACCTATATAAGCAAAGCAAAAATTTAAGCATTATCTTTCAATGGCCAGGTAATGATATCAGAGCTACTTCAAAGCAACGTAATATCGCTGTTTGGAAAAAAGGAGGTAATTAAGGTGCATTGAACACGTAATGTTCAGAACAGAGAAACAGTCTATTCAGAATGTTCCTAAATGTCGGGTACAAGTGAAAGGGATGTTTCTATAGACAACCTTATCGTTTGAAGATTTTCGACAAATTGCATCGTTTGGAATATACCAGGGGGAATATAAAATCGCAAATAACTTTTTGTGGATCAGAAACTGCATTACATCCTCTAGAAACTGATCAAATTGACTATGTACCTTCAGGCAGAATTCAACTCTTCGATGTCCTTGGCATACAGATAGTAATTTTAAAAATGGGCAGTTGATGAGTAAAGCAAAGAAATCGTTGCTTTATGGATAGTAAGTGCAAAAAAGTGACTGGCCAGATTTACAATGGAGAGGTTAATGAATCATTCATTGAATTAGATATTAATCCTTACAACGCGTGCTCATTTGATTTTTGTGTTGCTTATCAAGGCAGGCAATCCAGTTTCTAAATTGCCCAACGTGTAGACTGCCGAGCTCTTTCAAATATACTGGTAATTTATTACCGAGTTACACCTATTAACTCAACATAGTGTTAATTAGCAGATCAATAAGTAATTATCTGGACGTTTGGCTTCCTATGAGGAGGACATTGCTGATTCATGTTTGAGTTTTGCTAAAGTTGCTTTCATAATTTTCTAATCTTCAAGCATGTATGGTTTTTCAAAATCGTATAAGACAGAATAGTCTCAAGGTGTACACTCATTGAGGAAGCGAGGTAGGTTCCGTTACGCATAATCTAATAAAATCTCGCACACTGGAGCGACGCTTCATGTTTAGAATCGCTCATTGAGTTTTTGCCCATATATAGGGTGAGCCACCTAAGCGTTAGCCGTATGCAAGTATTTGCCGTTTAAGAATTATTATTATATATCTCATATTAGTTATTTATTGATGAGAAAAATAATGTTTTAGGAGCATACGTTTACAAGCAACAACTTGCATGAACGATTCGGGGAAAACTACTAACGGTATTTATGGTTGAACACAATATACAGCTAGCATAATAATTTTTGGGATTGTAACCGGATTTGAGATAAAATCAAATTAATTATGGGGAACTCGTGGCTCCCCTTCATATCTCGTACCATAAGAGAGCCACCCTTAACACTTGTTAATGACAAGCATAATTGAACACTAGATTGCAAGAACTGGTGTTTAACCAAACTGAATTTGAGACTGATAAAGTGCATTTTTTGAAATTCTATATCGTTCAGTGGAAGAACCATAAGGGAATTCAATAGCAGAATACGTCATATAGTCAAATCACGCCAAAAATGAACGCTAAAGGACATAGGCCTTTCTTCAACCGTTTACAGTTTGAAAGTAGGTTTTCATCACTTCAGAGTTATTAGGGAAATGTGTAAGTATTTCTTGGTACGTAGGCATACGTTTACAGTATCTTAGACAGAACGACCGAGCTTGAATGGAAAACAGCGGTCTGCGATTACAGCCACAGCACAATGAACCTTTAATAAGCAGGTTCGATAGGTATACCCATAGCAAGGCGCCAAGCTGTAAACGAATTGTCAATAACAAGATGACTTGAAAATATTATTAGAGAATTGTACTGGATAAGCCAAATAACTCTTTTGGTAGCGCCAAACGTTTACAAATGGTCTAAGTGAATGAAGCAAGCAGTTACCGTGAGAACGGTCTTCCAAACCAGCTTCAAACAGAGTGAGAAAGTTGGGCCTCAAGAAGCACACTAACATACTGGGTTTTTAAGTAAGCCTATTTTCGTTTGTTTGCTTTCCACTGCCTGTCTCCAATGACTAGACATATACCGTACCGATTGCTAAGAAGCATGAAACAACGTTATATACGGTCAGATAGTCGGAGAGTAAACAGATCCTACTCAGCCGGCATCAAGTAGCTCTTTCTAGTTTTGACTGAATTTGCTAAGCTAACTTATCGATTATTATTCAGAGGTACTAAATTATTTTTTAGACAAAAAGAAAAGCGCTTTAATGCTTTTTCAGTCTGATTTGAGGAACCTAGTGTTACTGCATATTCTCAATACAAGGTATACTATGACCAAACAAGAAATGGACTATCACCCCTGCGATATCATATTCCTCCAAACATTGCAGTATTGGCAAGTATTGCTCAAGTATATCTGATTTCATTAATCTGGTCACAAAGGGCAGTAAGGCATAAAACCACATCAATTGCTAGTACACTAGTAGGTACACGCCACAAAACAAATTACGTCGATCCGTTACACTAGATCCTGGTTGCACCCACACGCACATGTCCGCGGAAAAAAACGCGCATCGCGGCAGGGGTTGCCCGGCAACGATCGCGTCAACACTTTTTCTGAATGAAAACTTTTTATGAACGCGGCGCGCATCAGGGGCGGGAAGGTCGCCGCACGCGTTCGACACGTGTCGATCGTCTACCTGACAGCCACACGTGGACCAGCCAATGTCTCAGAGCCGTTTGATAACCCCTTCGGTGGTTATCAGCCGCTGGCGAGAGAGCGAGACAGATTAAAACAGAAGCCAACATAAAGGGTTACCAGCGAGTCTGATAGAGAGCAGATACGGGGTGTAAGAGAGACCCATCTTGTTTGTGGTCGCGGCGGGTTGGGCTTGTGAGAGAGCTAGATGCAGGTTGCGGTGAGTGCGAGAAGGACATAAATAGTGGAGAGCGGTTTTTCGGGGCCGGTAGCTAGACGCAGGCGTCACGTACGCTCGGCGGGGGAGGGGAAGCTCCACCGCCGCCGCGATTGTCATATGTTTTGTGTGTTTGGGTTGGATCGCGGTGTACCGGGAACTGTTATGCTAACGCGAGATGTTACCGCGCGATCAAGTGGATCTGAAAAATTGGATTACCTGTCCATTGGTATTATTAATCCATCTTGAAAATTGGAATATGATTTTTCTGATTGTTCTTCCAGACTGCGGTGTCAAATAGGGCGTTATTAATATTATTCTATTTAAGTACATATTTTCACAATAGGGACTCTTGACATCTTCATTGAACTGAATTCAAGCTCCTAAAATCCAAGTCAACAACGGTACCAAGATAAATATAATTTCACCAATGCCATTTACTGACATTACTGATGTTGATCCATGTATTCCTGATTGCGTTTATAACAGACTGATCAAGATCAAACACTAAGTCAGCTGTGGACCGAACAAACGATCAAGCTACATTTTGGTGAAATGAACCCTTATTAATACGGTCTTTTAAACGAAACAACCGCTATATCGTATAATATTACAATGGATACAAAACAATTCGTAATTTTCGCTTTTACAAGATATAACTACCACAAGCGGAACAAATTTGATATTTCCTCAATTATTCGTATTTCAAAGCCAAGTGAGCTAAAACATGAGATATAATCGAACTTTTTTTTTCATATATCAGGCAACACTTACTACCCCTATCGTTTATAAAAAGCGTAGAGATAAATGTCCAAGTAAAATATCTTGAAACCGTGTCATATTGATACATTTTACATGAGCATTCATAGCTTGAATTTTTTCATCCAGAGGTTCTTGAAAATTGGAATTTAAGCATATTTTCCATTATATCTCCATAACGAATAAACATATTGGTTTGCAGTTTTTGGCATTTCGTAAGATTTTTTATGTTCTTTCTGGGGAATATCTATTAAAAAAGTATACCAATATATTTCAAATTTTCACTATTTCGTGGCCACAAAATGAATTAATTTGACAAGATTGTGCCTTGAGTAAGAGCGCAGTGACAGCTCTTTCGAATGAAAGCCGGGTCATGAAAATCGGTGCCGCCAAGCGGACGTTACTTTTTCTGAAATTTAACACTTCCCCCACCCTAAACGAAAGAGCATAGAGTTGTTAAATACGTTAATTACGCATTTTTGCAAAACAATGCCGATTCAATTTTCTAACGGATGGCTCTCGGTTAAGCCATTGGTGAGGCATAGGTAGCCGGCGTACTTTATTATGGGTCTATTGTTGATTCCTTGAACTATTTTTGTTATCCTGCACCTTGCTTAGCATCATTTGTCTCACAATTGGATGTACATGAACCCATTTGCCCTAGATTGCCTGCAGTGAGCATCTCGAGAAGCTTCAAGTCCAGCTGCTTCTGGTAATGTGCGTACTCTCTCTTTCCTACCCTCTTCAGGTAGCTGTCAAAAGACTAGTATAATGTGAGAAACTGTGCAGTATAGTAATCTATCCGCACCGTTCCCTTGTCAATCCAAGTTTTAATGATTGGAATCAACCTTCCAGTCCATGTACCGTGGCCAGTTGCATCCCATCAGTCCTGCCATCCAAAAAAAAATCACCTTTCTTCGTCGCTCTTAGCTTCGGCCTCGTTTCCATAGGGTGAGTATCTCTCCTCAGTCATCAAATCAATTGGCAGGATATCAGCCACCACCAACAATGCGTCTGTCGACAAAAGCCTTCGTAGTGCACCTTTCCGTTCGCTAGCGACTATCATCTCCAGGTCGTTAGCATACTCTGTCAGGCAAATTTCTGGCAGCATCTGGAACCAAAAGACCCTATCATACAGCACGCTCCAAGGC